CAAAAAAACAACTCTATTAAAACAATAGGACTGAACGAGATTAGCTCAACATTAATCACTTATAATGGATTGGCTTATTTAAAGTGACATATCTGCTTTTCTTCTTGTTGTTTTTGTTTGTATCTTTAAGGTTAATTACTCTTATCCTCTGCTCTTTGGAGAAAACCTAAATGATTTGTAATTCAATGAAAAGGAGACAGATCGTAAAACTCTGGGCAGCCCTGCAGTCAACTTCAGCTAGCGGATCAGTGCATGAGAAATGAAACGGAAGTGAGGGACCCAAACAAACTATTAAGAAGGCAAATCTGAGATTTCATTGAACTCCAGCTCTCGACTCAGGTTCGGGAAAGCCCCGTGAGCTTCTCGCTGTAGAGTGAAAATGGAACACATGCTATTTATTGTTTGTTTATATCACGCAGTCTGTTCTTCTTCTCTCGGTTATCACGCAGTCTGTCTTCCGGTTGTTGCCTCTTTTGAATGACGAATACACACTACCGCCGCCTGCTGGTAAGGAGAGTTATTGCCACTCACGCATGCGCAGTTCGTACGTGCTACTTGGCCGTCAGCTGGAGTCTTTGTGGTGTGTTCCAGTGCGACACATGGCCAAGACGCAGAGACGCGAGGCGACACAACAGCCGGGGGTCCGTCTGTGTCAGTTCTTTGGTGTCAGCTTGGTGTGTCCGGGCCTTAACAGTCAACACTTGGTCTGAAGTCCCCACAGACTGAGCTACTGTTGGATGATTTTAGTTCTTCTTATTCAGATGGAAAATCAATCACAAAATTAACATTTTACCGCATAGCACAGCCAGCACAACCTGAAAAAAAGGCTGCTGGGAACGCTTGATCTTGCTTTGATTGGTAAAAGACATTCAAATAAATACAGGAATGGAGCAGACATGCAGAAATAACATATGAATATAATGCTACCTATCATTTTGCCAGGGAGTAAGAAATGTTCACTTCCTCTTATAGTTCACAATGACCAGGGAGAGGTAAAAACACACAATATATATTTGACTAACTCACAGTTTAGGAATAAATGCTTTGCTGGTATTTGTCATTCCTAGAAGCATGTGTGCATTTGAGGAGATGGGAAGTTCTTCGAGGTGAGCGAACAGTTTGTCTTAAAGCCGGAGGGGTTTTGTGGAAATGATATGAATGTTTCAGGAAAAAGAAGTAAAAACCTGTCCCAAGGGAGGGAGCTAAAGCCATGCTGAAAACACGGTGAGCAATCGCCCCCCCGAGCATTACCGTATGTCAGAGGGAAAGTCACAAGTGACAGCTCAGCTTCTGACTGTCACACATGTCACAGGGAGGCATTAAAGCCATGTGTGTGTGTGTGTGTGTATTCATTTAGTTGTGTATGGGTGACTGGAAGGAAAGGAAAAGGATATCAGAGTTCAAACTCAAAACACATCAAGTGTCTTTTAGCCTGCAGGCATCAATACTTTCTCATCGCTCCTGAGGCCCAAAGCGCTATCTCAAACTTTAGCTCAGAGACGCCACCGTTTTTGGGAATAATGTGAAGGCAGGTTGAGAGGAATTAGCACATTAGAGTCGTGCACTGGTGGAGTATTTTTGAAGGAGGTCCTGAAAGGTAGCATCACAAGAGCAAAAGGGTTTTTCTATTGGATTCAATTGGAAGATCTGTTGCAAACACACATTTATGATACTTATATGTTTTGTTCAGCCGGATAATCTCCACATATTAACACCACTTTATGATTTTTAGGATAAAAAGCTAACTATAAAGGAACTACAGCACGGTCACATTACTTCACGTCACCACTGCTAAGCTAAAGGTGGCTAATGTTGGGCTATAAAGGAACTACAGCACGGTCACATGACTTCACGTCACCACCGCTAAGCTAAAGGTGGCTAATGTTGGGCTATAAAGGAACTACAGTCCGTTCACATGACTTCACGTCAACACGGCTAAGCTAAAGGCGGCTAATGTTTGGCTATAAAGGAACTACAGTCCGTTCACATGACTTCACGTCAACACGGCTAAGTTAAAGGCGGCTAATGATGGGCTATAAAGGAACCACAGCACGGTCACATGACTTCACGTCACCACCGCTAAGTTAAAGGCGGCTAATGTTGGGCTATAAAGGAACTACAACATGGTCACATGACTTCACGTCACCACCGCTAAGCTAAAGGTGGCTAATGTTGGGCTATAAAGGAACTACAGCACGGTCACATGACTTCATGTCACCACCGCTAAGCTAAAGGTGGCTAATGTTGGGCTATAAAGGAACTACAGCACGGTCACATGACTTCACGTCACCACTGCTAAGGCGTTTTTTAAACTCCATAGGGGTATTTAGTGATGCATTTTATGTCACATCTTTTCAGATTGTGTTTACCACAGACCTTATTTCAGACATCTCACCAAAAACACATTAAAGAAATGGTTAACTTAAACAGGAAGTGGCAAAATGCTGATTCATTTAAAGGTTTTAAGACTCATTTCTGAGATAAAACACATTGAGGGAGACGCTACAACTTGGAGACAGTTCAGAGGGTTCATATTTATCCATCCATCCCTTCGAGTGTCACAGTCTGACAGCAGATCAGAGAGAGACTGACAGGCGGTGAGTCTAACGCCTGTTCTGAACCTCCGGTCAGGTCGGCTGATATCGTGACGCTCTGCCGATCACAGATATGATCCGACCTGCTGAACATCTCCGCTGACTGACTGTTGTGTTGCTTGTGAAAACGAAAACGCACACCAGAAAACAGAAGGACCGTCGGGGCTTTTCAACAACACAGTTATGTAAACTGGTAGCAGATTCAGCAGGAGGAGGAATCACAACGTCTGTAAGTTGTACCTAACTATCAAATCAAGGTTTATTTATAAAGCACATTTAAAAGCGATTTTTGGTCGGGCCAAAGTGCTGTACATGTAATAAATACTACAATCACAATAAAAGACAATAAATTACAACAGATATATAAAAAACACAGGGAAAAGTCAGGAGTCGTGCTCCGCTCTGACTAGAAGGCCAGGGAGAAGAAGTGTGTGTTTTAAGAGTAGATTAAAAAACCCCTAGGGTCTGGGCCGACCTCACATGGAGGTAACTATGGTTACATTCATCCTATATAACCATGCATACTGTCTGTTTAAAACCACTTCTTAAAATCCACCTCTTCTCCTTAACGTTCGACACTTAGAAAGATAGTAGATTGTTGCTTTTAATTGGTCTATTGTTTTTTACTATATGGCTGTTATTACTCTATTCATGTTTATTTTTACCTTTTTATTTGTATTTTTGCTTATTTTTATGTTTTCTGAGCTGAACTGTGTAATTTTTGTATTTTATTAATGTATTTATTTCTCTGTACAACACTTTGGTCTGGAGGTTTTAAATTGCTTTACAAATAAAGCTGTATTGCATTGTATTGTATGCAAAACGACCACATTGGCACCTTGAATAAGATCCTTAAAGTCAGTTAAGGAGTCAAATCAAATCAAATCAAAATGTATTATTGATCCAAATCACAAGACATGCCTCAAAGGGCTGTACAAAGCAAACAAAAGCAAAGACAAAAACAAAATACAAACGGCATAGCATAACAATTATAAAACAAGGAGTGACTCTCACAGCCCTTTACTTATTTTAAGCGTTAAAACAAAACCAAGCTATTTCTATAGAGTGATTTCTGGTTGCTTTCCAAAGCCGCCCGTCCGCCTCCTCCAAACACTGCGACTCATCAAAATGTTGGCAGAAGTTAGAGTTGCATGCTGGGAAATGTCGCTGCAGCAGCGGATTCCCAGCAAGCTCCCTGAAGGCCTGTCATCTCAATCTGAGCCTGACAGCTTTCAATCGATCGCACGTCTCTCCCTTTCACCTCATTTAATCCGCAGTGTCCTGACTCTCATCTCTGAAGGACATGGACTTACTTCTTACTTTTTAACTTGTGGAGTTATGGGGTTTCTTTCGATTAAAGAGGTCCTATTATGCCTCTTGGGGTTTTCCCTTTCCTGTAATGTGTTATATAGGTTTTGGTGCATGTAAATGGTCTGCAGAGGCTAAAATCCATCACATAATATATCCCTGGATTGTAATTATTCATGCATTAAAGTCATTTTATTTTGCAGCTAGTAATAACTTTGAATGACTCTCTATTCAGATATACATTATAGTATGTCATACTTAATTTTTTTAGTGAGTAAAAAACATTATAATTACTTACACATTGTACTGTAGTATAAGTATCATGTAGCATAAAATGGCAATACTCAAGTAAAGTACAATTAACTCAAAGATGCACTTGAGTAAATGCACAAGGGTACTTTCCAAGGACATCAACTTACTTCTTACTTTTTGACTCTTTATTCAAATATCTTAAACCATTAGAGTACGTCATACTTACAATAAAAGTACAATATCTGCTTACAAATTGTACTGTAGTATAATTATCAAGCAGCATCAAATTGAAATACTCAAGTGAAGTACAATTATTGTATACAGTAGGTGTTGGTGCATGTAAATGGTCTGCAAAGGCTAAAATCCCTCACATTTTATTTTCAGAGTAATACATATTAAATCACTGGATTGTAATTATTCATGCATTAATGTAATTTTAATTTGCAGCTGGAAATAACTTTTAATGACTCGCTATTCAAATATCTTAATCCATTAGAGTCATACTTTGTTTGGTAATAACAATATGAATGTGCAAAGTAACTAGTAACTAAAAGCGTCAAATACGTGTGAGTAAAAGTGCAATATCTGCTTATAAATTGTACTGTAGTATAATTATCAAGCAGCATAAAATTGAAACACTCAAGTAAAGTACCTCAAAGATGTAGTTGAGTAAATGCACAAAGTTACTTAGTTGTGACATCCGGAAAATTCAAAAAATCTGAACACAAATGTAGAAATGTAGAAATGTACCCACATCTGTATATTAACATTGTCCCTCTATGTTTCCAGTGTCATCGTCCACAGCAACATCAAATCATCAAAGCGAGGTATTGACTCTGTGCCTACCTGTCGATGTCGCCCTGCATCTCTTTGCTGCCTTTCTGGGAAACATCTTGAGAAGTAGAAGAGTCCGAGGCTCGGCCTGCGCTCCTCGAATACAGATGAAGGCCGCCGTCGGTAAGGTATCTGTGAGAGGGGGAATAATGAGAGGATGACGATGCTGTGGTGGAAACATAGTAACTCTATAAATGAAATTGACTTGAGTTGACGAACCTCTGTTCTGTATAAACTTAACCAGTAAGGGAATACAGTGACATCATGGATGATACAAAAGCACTTTCTTTTTACGAAAGCCTATCAAATCCTTATTCTAATCTACAGCTTGAGGTAAGTTGGATTTTTAGACTTTTTAAACACCATGTAGAATAAAACTACTTCCTGAGAATAAACACCAAGGTAGCAGTAATCAATATTGAAAATAAAATCAACTTAATCACCACATTTTTCTCTAGAAATATATAGGGTATAAATCTGTTTGAGCCAAATCTTAGATGTTAAATCCTAATAGCAACACTTAATTGAATTAGCATTTCTGCCTGCTTTGAGCACTTCGGATGCAAACAGAATATTATCATTATTGCAAAAGGGCATTCAGTAAAGTATAAAATAAACATTAAATCGAAGTTATAGTTATTTTTGGAGATTTTAAATTGCAAAGTAAGACAAAAACGATTAATACAATCTATTTTGTATCATTTTGAAGATTGATTTAACACAATTTAGTACCAATTAAGACCTTTTTTTATTGCCTTTTAGCCTTTTTTAAGGATCTGCAAGAGCCCTGTTAAATGTGTGTATGTGGCACTGAGTAAGAGGTAATATTTGAGGCACGGCTGATAGGACACGGAGACCATTAGCATTTAGCTAATTAAGCTTAGCTAATCACTTTTCCTTTCAGACGTGTTACTTTAATTAATATGCTTTACCCCATAACTCTGCTTTACATCTCTTCACTGTGTGTGTGTGTGTGTGTGTGTGTGTGTGTGTGTGTGTGTGTGTGTGTGTGTGTATGTGTGTGTGTGTGTGTGTGTGTGTGTGTGTGTGTGTGTGTGTGTGTGTGTGTGTGTGTGTGTGTGTGTGTGTGTGTGTGTGTGTGAGATATGCTCACTGCTTTAATAGCTATGGTGATAATGAAGGTCAGAAGCAAACACACATTTTGCCGTGATGTTTTCCGGATCTATTTTCATTCAGCTAATCTGTCAGCGAATGGCGTGGCCTCGAGTCGCACACTTCACTTTCATGGCAAGACAAACGATGACAGCCTTGGTGGATGTTGCCCTTTGTATTAATGTTCACAGAAAGATGAGGCCTTGGAGACTCTATGAACACACATCCAACCTTTTCTACTAAACCCATATGCACTGCGACATTGAATAGAAAAATGTGACTTGTATTCATGATTCATCAAACAAGTGTTTCAGTTAGTATAGAGAAAGAAGAAGGCCAAATCATATCAAGTGGAACATATTCTGCTCGCTTTCGGGTCCATACTTACATTTTGGATACTAGAACGTCTTTAATTTCTCTAGTGTCTCTTTTTCTCATACTGTCCGTTAGAATATAACTTAAAGAGGCCCTATTGTGATTTTTGGGGGGTTTTCCCTCTCCTGTAGTGTGTTCTATAGGAGTTCCGGGAACACAGTGACATCACTATGGAACACTTGCACTTCTATTAGCCAGTGCTCCGATGCATTGTACGTGATAATATACATTTGGGCATCATCATTTACCAATTAAAGCGTTGGCATTTAAAGCAGGAAGTCAGAAGTGCATCAGAGGAAGCTAATATGCTAAACGCTATAGTCATCCTACCCGCTCGTAGGATATTTTAGGCAAACAATATACATTTTGGCAACAAATACTTTTACCTACCTCAACCAAACAGAAGCAAGTTTAATTTAGGCTAGCAATATACATTTTGGCACCATCATTTATGTCAGAAGTCAGAAGTGCATCAGAGGAAGCTAACATGCTAAGTGCTATAGTCGTCCTACCCGCTGGTGATCTCATTGGTCCGGTTGCTCCTCCCTAGGATGTCTCCTTCACTCAAGTACCCTGTTATCTCCATCTCCGACTGCTGCCCTTCATCTCCTTCTCCTTCTCCTCTTCCTCCTCCTGCTCCTCCTCCTCCATTCTCCCCTTGCTCCGCCCCCCTCATCCCTCTTCTGAACACAAACCTGGAAGTGTCAGAGTGCCCAGTGTAGCGCCCTGTGGTGCACCCGGCGCTCGTCGTGGTCGCCCTGGGCGGCGCCGCGTAGCTGCCGGGCATTGAGGGGGCGTCGCCCGCCTGGAGACGCGGGGTTTGTGATTGGCCGAGACGCCAGGCCATGGGGAGGAGCGTGTGGTGAGGGCTGGGAGACTCCGCCCATTTACCTCCGTGGTTACGGTGGTGTCGAAGGTCGTTTCTATTGTACTGTGGAGAGAGAAAAAACAATAACGGATTTAAACTCTTACTCTTTAAAAGCAAAAACACGGGTTATCCTGTGTTGAGTAAAACACTTTTACCAAGGAAAAAACAAGTTAACATTAACAATAAAAAATTAACAAGATGCGAGAATTGAGACAAATGTACACGTCCGAAACACTTTAACATTTGCCGAAAACACTTTTACAAACTAAATGAAATCTGACTCTTTAAAAAGCAAAAACCGCTATTATCACTGATTTCTCTGACAGTATCTTGAGTAAAAAATTGCTAAAAGTGCACAACAATAACGAGTCTTACTCATCGTATAAAGTGCAATCCTGTGCAAAGGGTAAATCATTCAGGAGAAAAGATCGGACATTTTTACAAGTAGTAGAGCGCCACTCCCTTCAAACCTCATGCTGTGTGTGTGTGTGGAATGTGAATTGCCTTTTTGACAACACTCTCATATGCTCACTGCTTTAATAGCTGTGTGTGTGTGTGTGTGTGTGTGACCTTCCTAAAGTGCTGCTGTTATTTCCACTGTGTTGACTTGAAGGGGAAATATAGCAGAAAGTGATTGCTCCCATGAGGACATAATGTCAGAGCATCCATCACAGTGAATCACATGGAGATGGAGACACAGGCAGCCATGTTTATATTCAACTATTACATGTATTTTGCAAAGGATTTTAAACTGCCACAGAAAACAAAATATGTATCAGGTTAAGCTGCATCAGCAGGGTTGAAGCAAGTGAAACTTCTAGTGAAATGTCAGAGAAAAATTGTAATAACTACCAATTTTAGATTTTCTAGCTACATTTTCAACAAATGAAGGTTAAATCCTGAACAGATGTGCAATGCAGTAAAACACCAGCTTGAGCTCTCTCTGCTGGGAAGAAGAGTGAACTACAGTCACATGATATCACACGACACACACATCAAAACACAACGCGGAACATGTGGTAATGTGTAGTCATATACATCCCTTATTTGGCCAAATCCTCTACTTTATTATGCATGATAGAAACAAGACTAACATTAAATGTGTTCAAAAGAAAAAGGATTTAAACTACGATTAACCTGCCATGTAATATAAAATAGAGAGGTAGGAAATGTCCACACGTCTGTATCATTATAAGCATATTTGTTCTACATTGTCTGCCAGTACTAAATTATAATATTGTGACTTTGAAAACAATTTAAAAGGTATACTTCAAACGCTCATAATGCAGTTTAAGTCCGAGGGCAGCAGCTATTCGATGAGACATAAAAGCAACGACAAGCAGTGTCTCACACATGGTGGTGACAGAGGTGTGAGAACAGTGTGTGTGTGTGTGTGTGTGTGTGTGTGTGTGTGTGTGTGTGTGTGTGAGAAAGGTCAGTACACTGTCCCCTGTGATGCCAAGTGCCAACATGAGAGGGGCAGAGATGCCAGCCGTGTTCACATCCAATCTTTATCAACACCTCCTGAGATCAACACACACACACACACACACACACACACACACACACACACACACACACACACACACACACACACACACACACACACACACACACACACACACACACACACACACACACACACACACACACACACACACACACACCACCATGTCAGAGTGCAGCATTAAACAGACAACTGATGCTTATTTAAAAAGCAATCACAGAGAAATATTAGAATACGGATATTCATTAGCCACGGTCAATTAATCAAAATGACCACTAACCGTGTGTGTGTGTGTGTCCTAGCATTACTATACTTGTGGGGACCAACATCTGTTTACACAGTCACGTGTGGGGACTCGCCTCCCTTATGGGGACATGATGGAGGTCCCCATAAGGGGAATCATTAATTTTAGGGTGAAGACTTGGTTAGGGTTAGGGTTAGGCATGTGTTGGTTATGGTTAAGGTTAGGATAAGTCTCCAGGAAATGCATGTAAGTCAATGTAATGTCCCCTGAAGTGATGTATACATGGTATGTGTGTGTGTGCGTCTGTGTGTGGCCATCTGAAAAGTGATTAAGACATGGATAGGGGAGCATCTCTTCCTGTGTGCATGTGTTTGTCCTCTCTTTTACCCCGTCTTCACAGACCCTCAGGGCAGGTTATCAATGTGAATCAAAGACGTTTCAAAACATGTGTGTGTCCACTCAATTAACTCCGTCTTTAGAGATCCTGCCTGCTCCTCCTTGCCCAGCCCCAGAGGCTTTGTGTGTGTGTGTGTGTGTGTGTGTGTGTGTGTGGTGTGTGTGTGTGTGTGTGTGTGTGAGTGTGTGTGTGTGGTGTGTGTGTGTGTGTGTGTGTGTGTGTGTGTGTGTGATGAGTAGGAAATGTGCTGGGTACGTTTTACACATCTAATCTACTGCATATAAACACACATCATTTAGTTGTTTTGTTAGCTGTCGCTTCTCAATATCAGGACCGCATTACCCATAAACCCCGCTGTTTTGTTCGGGCTATATTAGACTATCTGGTACAAAGCAGAAGCAGAACCCAAATAATCCGAACAGAGGGAGAGTGGTTTGTTTATCCAGCAGCTCAGTGGGAGGAGAATCCATATTGACAGCAGAATGGTTATTGCTGAGTAATGCTGAATCACTGCATCTTCTTATGAGCTCCGACACTTGATCAGATATTCATGCAGGCTTATTTACTGATCTCAGGGAAAATGCAATTCTGCAGCTCCACTCTATATATTTTAGTGCATGTAAATGGTCTGCAAAGGCTAAAAGACGCCACCATTGGACTCTTTTGTTTACTTCCAGAACATATTTCTAGCCAATCACTTCTATTGGCTAGCTCTCCAACATATTGTACGTGTGCACATTCACTGTATATTTTTGGTGCTTTAATTCTATTTTGAGGTGTTCAAATTCTAGTATTGTTTATTTCCACTCTTTAATTTATGCTGCAACACAAACGTTTCCCAATTTGTACCTCGTATTTTATCAAATGTATCGTACGCAATGTTGGAACTAACGCGTTACAAGTAACGCCGTTATTTTTGTCAGTAACTAGTACTCTAACGCATTACTTTTTAAATTCAGCAATTCAGTTACCGTTACTACATGGTGCGTTACTCCGTTAGTTTTTTTTAATATAGTCAACAGCCAGGCGAACAGAGATGAGAACTGTACTTAAGTACTTGAGTAAATGTACTTAGATACTTCCTGTGTCACATGCGGAGACGGGCTGTGGGCGTGTTTGTGTTGTTTACTAACAAGACTATCATGGCGGCGGCGGAGCTCAAGTCTAGTTTCTCCACCTGGAGATATTCTCACTATTTCCCTTTTGTCGAGCACAAAGAAAAGAACGTTTTAGTTAAATGTAAGTTGTGTCTTGGCGGGTCAAAGATCCTATCTACTGCCCAAACCAGTCATCTAAATCTCTTAAAACATCTGCAAAAACAACATGCTGGGACGAAGCTAGTAGCTAAGACCACAGAGACTCAGCCGACGCCACTCCACCTCCACCTAAGCAACAGCGGCTGGATTTTAACTGAGGGACTGCTAGCCAGGGAAAAGTCGATAAAGCCATTGTAGAATGTTGTAGAACACATGCAGGCTATTGCTACAGTGGAGTCACCCGCTTTCAGGGAGCTAGTTAGCATGATAGCATGTCCGGGCGGCACACGGCATATGGGACGGAAAACTTTTTCCAACTACCTGGAGAAAGAATATACAAAAATGGAAAGCTAGCTAATATCGATGCAATCCAGATTGCATATAATGCATGTCAAGTTGATCAACAGATTGTATTATTCTCCAATGCAATAACAGAACTGAAATTAAGGCTATAAGGGCATTAATGGGAGTCCTTTTTACAAGTAACGAAACACAGTAACGCATTACTTTTGGATGTAAGTAACTAGTAAAGTAACTGAGTTACTTTTGACATGAAGTAACTAGTAATGGTAACTAGTTACTGGTTTTCAGTAACTAGCACAACACTGATCGTACGTGATAGATTAAGGGGCGGGACATCTCTAAGCGGTTGACCAATCACAACAGCTAACCATGACAAACTGTTAAGAGAAGTTAGAGGGTTATTTACTTTATTTTAAGGTGATTTATGAATTACTGGCATGAAATCCGTCCCAATAAAGACTGCCAAAATGCAAAATCACCTCCTTTTTACTCATTTACAACTCCCTATAAAACATACGTTACTCTATAGCAGGGATGGGCAACTTGGATGGTGGTGGGGGCCACATAATGTATGTACTGGCCACCGGGGGGCCGCAGATTCACTTGGAACACACACGCACACAAATTCCATGTATTGTATGTAATTATATACATATACTAAGTCGGACATCTTCTTTGACATTTTACAATCTCTCAGGGAACATCCTCTAATAAGCTCACTGAACTAAATCAGTTCACAGAAATGTTATTTAATGTTTACAAGTGGCATGTTTGTATTAAATGATTTAACATTGGAATGAAACTATTGGAAAGCACGGAAAATGCGTGTGCATTAAGATTAAACATTAAGATGACATGAAGTCATGAACACTAATCCAGACATTAGTTGTCTAACTTGAACCTAAGACACTTGAAGCCTCTGCTGACGCACAATAAGGGGAATGCCAACACAGACAGCTGTCAACCCGCACTCTGCTGTTCCCGCTGAAATTATGAATGAAATTAATCTGAGGGCCGCAAAAAGAGTAGGTGGGGGCCGCGAAATCCTCCATCCTCTTGTAGTAAACTCATCCTGTGGATTCCTCCCGCTCCACCATGTCACGTATCCTCTCAGCCTTACGAGAAAATCTGGTTTTGAAGGATCATTAGCGTTAAAAACGTATCTTTTGGTAGGTTTTCTTCTTCTACCGAACGCTTGCAATCATCGTAATGAAGCGTCAGCTCGAACTGAAAGATGTGCACATGAACCGAACCAATAGCTATCTCCTTCAATTCAAAAGCAATGAATAATTGACCATGCCCCCTCCTCTCTGGGCTCCATGTGTAAACAGAAAGTAAACAAACCCGACTGGGGAA